GAAGGAGACATTTCCGACCCTATAAAGTATATATATTCTTGATCAGCATCACCAGGAGAGTCGATCTAGCCATGTCCGTCTGTCCGTCCGTCTGTCCGTCCGTCTGTCCGTCCGTCCGTTTCTACGCAAACTAGTCCCTCAGTTTTAAATTTATCTGCTTGAAACTTTCCCAAAAGTTATCTTTCTATTGCAGGTAGTATATAAGTCGGAACGAGCCGGATCGGGCGACTATATCATATAGCTGCCATATAACTGAACGAAGCCATAACTTTGGTGTTTTTAAAGTTAGGAAGTTGGGATTTTCTATAAGTATTATTTTTGGCCAATTAATCCGACCTACCGAATTTCATAAGGATCGGACGACTATATCCTATAGCCGCCATATAACTGAACGATTGGAAATGCATTAACTTTGGTGTTTTTAATATTAGGAAATTGGGACTTTTTATGAGTATTAAGAATGCATCAAATGAATAATTTTGAAGAATATAATTTACAGAATATTCTGCAAGGGTATATCAACATCGGCTCCGTCAGAAGTTAGCTTTCCTTTCTTGTTATAAATAACATTAAGCAACATTAGTTTTAAACCTTATAAATCCATTCTCAGTGTAAGTTTAAAAGTATTGGTATAATATACAATTTTTTATTTGTATCCTATCACCGATTTTTTGTATCAACATTATTCCTATGGTTTATAATTTGCCGCTGAAGAAAATTCTCGCAACCTTCTATGATGCAGATTCAAAACGGTTTTAATAAAGTTTCCTACTTACATTTTTTCTAGCAGTGTATAAAGGTTTTTGTTCCGGTCAACTTGGTTTGGAACTTTATCACTATTTTTTTTGCGCCGCATTCACTGTTGCATCCCGTACCAGCTTGCAATCGTATTATGATTTCCACAAAATAGTTTTTGTGTGTGGGTAACGAATTACAAATACTGGACCGCCAATTAATCTAGTTATGACCACTGGTTGAGCTGCAAATTATTATTTTAAGAGGGGTGGATACTGACGGCCCTTCTGCTCTCCCGATGGACAGGGTGCTGGTGCTGCCAGGGGGGTAGGCTTGTTATCTGCTACTGTCAAATAATAATTAATAATTATGCTGACAGGGAACTGCCCTCATTTAACTACAAGCCTTGGGACTTTAATAGTAATAACAATAATATCAATAATTATTAATAATTTATAATAATATAAGGAGTTAGGATCTGACAGTATCGAATGTAAAACTGAACGGAATACAATTTTAAACTTAAAGCTATAAGAAGCACTTTGATTGATTCTTGGCCCGTACAAGTACCAAATTTTCAGATGGGTGCAATCTTTTCAGTGTTATTTTGTTCATAGGTCTTAAGAGTGTCAGGGCTAGTCGGTGTGTAAGTAAGGGATTTCTTGACTGTAACGTGTGGCAGTTTAGTGATAGATACACAGTAATCTCTAAATATAGTGGAGTTTTGTGTAAACTAGGGCCGTTTATTATATGTCTGAAAATTTCGGCTTGGCATGATTTAATTAAGGCGATATATATTCAGCCTGTTCAGCGAAAAGACTTTGTTTGATTAATTGCGATAATCCACCTCATTTAACATGTTCTACACCATGTCCGTGGCATCCTTTTTCAGTGCACTCGTCGCTAGAAATGCAGCGATATATTCTTGGCAAAGGAAGGTCTGACGCGTATATCGTATAAAGAACTGAGCCCAGAACACTTTCTAAAGGGGGAAGCCTGCTTTAGAAGCTTCAAAAAGTCGATTTTTCCGAGGTTTTATTTGGAATGGAAAAAAATATTCTATTGAAACGAAACTTTCAGGTTTTATTGTTATGTATTTCAACAGTCTTCTCAAATTTTTTTTTTATTAAAATATATGTACAAGCATTTCGCCAAGGCGCCTCAAAACCCGTCTGTCTGTTCCTACGCGAACTAGTCTCACAGTTTTAAAGATATCGAATTGAAACTTTGCACACACCCTTCTTTCCTTTGCACGCAGTATGTATGTCGGAACGGCCGGGATCGGCCGACTATAGCCGACATATAACTGATTGATCGGAAATGCCATAACGTTAGTATTTTTAAAGTTAGGAAGTTGGGATTTTATATGGATTTTGGCCAATCAATCCGACCTACCAAATGTCATAAGGATCGGCCGACTATATCTTATAGCCGCCATATAACTGATTGATCGGAAATGCCATAACTTTGGTGTTTGTAAAGTTAGGAAGTTGGGATTTTTTATGAGTATTAAGAGTGCATCATATGAATAATTTTGGAGAATATAATTAACAGAATATTCTGCAAGGGTATATTAACTTCGGCTCCGCCCGAAGTTCGCTTTCCTTTCTTGTTTTTGTTTCATTTATTTTAGATTTTTCAAAAAGTGAGTTGATCATAAGAATTAAATCCCAAATACAATACATTTTGTCTTGTTTCGATATGACGTTTAAATTTTTTCCTATCTTTCCCGCCAATTAGGAAAAATCGTAAAAATGAAAAGCCAAGAAATCGCACGCCAAAGCAATCCGGCCGGTCGTGTACCTGCTCAACGCTAGCATACTATTGCTCCAGTAACTATAAAAATATTTTGATATCTTTGATTCTAAAATTTTAGGGACACATTCGATTTTTTGAAGTCTTTAAAGCAGGCCCCCTTAAGTATAGATCGCGTTGTATACTTTGAGCAGCGAACATCGATTTGCAACGTTCTGCCAACAATCAAACAAACTGGTGACCGAAATTGAATTCTGGAACGGATCAATAATCAAAAGCTGTATAAGATGAATTCTCTTGAAAATCTTGGAGAAGGTCGGCTTAAAAGATTCGAAAAGAATCAGAACTTGCTTACACTGCACCGCATAATATGAAAAAACTTTCACGTCGTTGTTCGACTTTAGCCGCTTCATTTGATCTTAAATTTAGCGTCATAAATGGCTTTCGTAACGGCTATGACATGATCCAGGAGCTCAACACCTATCGATAATGTCATTTGAATTTATGTTAATGTAGTGCTCAAGCTCAAGACTTTGGCCAGTGAGTCCAAAGTAACAAAATAAAATGCGAATTTAAAGATTAGACATGACTTTTGTGTTTGGACCCAGTTAAAGGCGAGTTGCCGGTTAGATGGTTTTTGACGATGTACTTAAATAGGTCGTGAGATATAGCGGATCAAGTAGCATCTCGATTCACGATCATCACCACATTTAGAAAGGCTCGACGTTCATACGGACGGGTTAATCGACTCAGCTAGCAATCCTGATCAGGAATATATATATTTTAGAGGGTCCGAAACTTAACTTCTACCTGTTACATAATTTCCAACGAAAATAACTTTTTACTCTACGACTAATTGGAAAATTCAGAGAGCTAAGTAAAAATCGAACCGACTTTAGTCTCTAGGTATTGTAATATGCGGGCTTACCGGTATTTTTATTTTACTATTATTTTAATGGTATCTTTAGGTGAATCTATCGATACCTAAACTATGTCATTCATTTAAACCACGCCTTTGCTCTTTAAAAAATGTTCAGCAATATTTCTGTAATAAATCTTTGAAATATGGCTGATTAAGCTATGAGGCGTCCCAAATGAGGCTATCTATACGCTTATATACTCCTTTTTAAGAAATCCACTTTTAAAATCTATCACTAAAAAACACAATTTTCTTTCCAAATACACTACTTCTTGATCTGTCATCTATAATCTAAATTCTGGGTGAAAATCCAATGGTGCAGTGCCTTTTTTCTTGTCTGATGTGGTAGTTAGACTTCTCTTTTTTTGAAAGAAGCACGTCCCAATAAAATGTGTAATGGTAATAGAATGCTTTAAAAATAATAAAACGATTTTATACGTCTTTTCGTGAGAATATATAAGGAATTCGATTTCTGCTAAAAGAAATTAACATATTTTGGAACAAAAGATTTCTTACTAAAGCTTACTGGACTATCGGTACATATAAACTAGATACCATATTTTTACTCATTAGAATGCTGTCAAGTCGTTATTGCCCTTCTTAAGGCAGTACCGATATTTAAGGCCTTGACTGTAGCAGTAATTGACGATTGATTCAACAACTTTATTTTGTCGTAGATGACAGGCACTATAGGAACACACAATAAGCCAAAGCTGCAGTGACTAAAATTTTTTCTTGAAGGCCATTTCCAAAAAAAAATAAAAACAGTAAATCTAACTAATTTTACCCGATCGTTCCTATGGCAGCTATAGGATATTCCACGTATAGGATAGGATATTCCACGGATATTCCACGTACACATATAAAAAGATGGTATAATAACAGATGGACATGGGTATATAAGCTCGGGCTAAGCTAAAAAATTTTTTACATTTTTATTTTTAAACATTTTTATGAAAAACACAAGCCTTTTTGGGTTTAGATCCCGCAACTGCACGCTCTGTAGATAGATATCATCACCAATCGAGGCAAAAGTATTTTGTAGAATATTGGGAAGATTTATCTATTTATTTAGAGGAGGAGCAGATAAATAATTGTATTCTATTTTTGTCATTACCAAAAAGAATGTAAAATCTGTATGATTATATTCCATGGGTTATTAAGCGGTAAATTTATTTTCCACGAAATAGCAAAACATTTTTGCTATTTAAAACTAAAGAATAATTATTGTGCTTGAAGCGCTATGATACTAAAACAATTAAATAAATGTTATTTCGATCACTAAAAATGTTTGTTGTGTCGATAGATATTGAGCGAATACGTTTTCCGCCCAATAACTATATCTACCTTGTATTTAAAGAGTTTTTCGTTTGAGTGGGTATTGCAACATTTTTGCACGCTAAATCCCAAGTCTCAGCTGCGGCATATGACGACGTCCTGCAGCTGGTGGTCAGGTCAAATTGATTGGATTGGTATTTATCTGGGCAGGCCAATTTTACAAGGCTTGGATTAGGAAAACCCAGAAATTAAAAAACAATTAAGGAAATACCCAGGTAACATTGCTTCCCGTTGACTACCTGTGAGACATATAGTAAGATTTCAGGTATGCAGACGCTTAAACAGGCAATAATAATAAAGAGGCCATGATTCGTATAAATAAGCCATGAAGGCAATCCAACAGCATCAGTTGCCCAGCAACCAGCATAGCTACAAGAACCTGTCTTCAATTCTGTTTACAATACCTCACACCAAGATGTCAACATACACTTGCACCCAGTTCCTGAACCTAAACTTAAAGGACCTTCCCTCGATGTCCACTACCGTCACGTTGAGTGCAGCACATTTTGGACAGCGCGACCTGAACCTGTTCATCGAAAGTCTGGAAACCATAACACGCCTGGAGAAGAAGCGGCACGAGTTATGGCAGCTCCGACAGGCGCAAAAGCTTCAACAGTCGCGCATACAAGAGCTGAAGGACGAACGCTGCTCCAGTCCAAGCGCGGAAGAGGCAGCCGATGAGCCGCTTTTGTACCTAGAGGCCAAGTGCATTCCCTATGCGGTGTCAGATTCCTTAAATGTCGAAAGCATGTACTTGGCTGGTCTGCCCGAGTACTATACCTGTGTCGACGAGGCATATGATAGTGGCTCCCTTTCACCACGCAGCAGCGTCATCTACTGTAGCTGCGGGGGGAACCCCAGTCTGGATTCAGTCTCTGACGAATCGGGAGTGTCCGGTTCCGTTTCAAAACCGCCCGTGCGTCCGCGCTCCCATGTGATAAAGCATCGCTCCACGCGATCCCGCATTATCAGCATGGTGTTGAAAAGGGAGTACGCCAAGACTCCCGTCGAGTACCAAAAAAGTGAGCAATGCAAAAAGGATAGGTTGCACCAGTACCCCAGGCTTACAATCACTCCCAAAAATTCGACGGAACAGAGTTTTCTGGACAAGGCCCTGCGCTATCTGACCTTATAGTTGGTGTCGGATCCTAGGTCAGCACATTTCTTTAATATTTATACTTTGAGGCTTATTATTATACATTTACATAAATAAATTTTAAATGCAAGAAATTATAAAGTTTTTGATTATTTTGACTCTTGTGAAATCAGACGTGTTAAGGTAGCTCCCGATATGTTTTCTAATTGTGATTTCACTTCTAGTCCAGTGAATTCTTGGTGCAAAGACCGAACAACTGACACTGAAAGGGTCTACGTCTGATATGCATTCCCTCTTTCTGACTAAAATATCCGTTCTCCTAAGCTGAGTGGCAATAATAAATGTAATAATAAATAATAACAAATGTACTTTAGGAAAATAGAAGAACATAGTTTTAGGCAAGTTGCAAAATGTCTACATTTTAACATCGTGTATAATTCGATAGAAAGGTAAGGACTTTTACTTAAGCTCTGGAATCAAAACAGTTTTCCTCCAATTCGAAGAACGTCCGTTTGATTTTGTATGTGAGATGCTAAGATAGACTCGGTAGAAAAGCTCAATTAAGTCGATAGAATGCTGTTTTGGTCGAGTTCTTTTGCACAGGCTCTAACCGGTCTATATGTACACCACACTGAGGACTCCAAATTGGTGAACAGTACTCCAGGATTGGACGGACTAGTGAAATGAACAGAGTCTTTGTAATATAGGGATCATCGAATTCCTTTGAATTCCCCTGGCTTTATTCGCCATGGAAGTAATATGGTCATAAAACTTAAGTTTTGGGTCAAGAAGGACGCCAAGGTCATCAACATGCGTGATTCTAGACAACGCATCACCAACCAGCGTAAACGAGGCATATTGTGGGTTCACCCTAAAAAATGTCATTACTTAAGTGTAAAGTTATTTTATTTAAATCCAAAAGATTTTCAAAACACAATGTTTGAAAAGCATTTATTTTCGATTGTAAGTCAAACTGCTGGAATTTTCGTTATTGCTAATTGTCCAACGACTAACTTGGGTCTTCGGCTTTTGCGTCTTAACCCGGTTAATACGGTTTTTTAAAACAAGGATCAAGGATTTTAGTATTTAAGATTATAATTTTATTTAAAAGACTGATTTTTAATATTTGTATATATATACAAACAATTATAATAAAATCTTGCCCACATCATTCTGGAAAGTTCATCTTCATATTGGTTCATGGTTAGGAACAATTTTGGTATTTTTTGTTTTTTTAAAAAAAGACAGTAGAAACAAATAAAATGATGTTTACCTAGTTTCCTAGTATTTACCTAATCGTTCATGTTTTTTATGCGACTGGAAAACATACCGACGACCGCCTGTTGCTGCCCTGGATTTGTTTACATTGTCGGGCACAGCGTTGCCACAGGGCCACACCCTACGAACGGCTACATCCTTCCTCACTGCCCTACAGGCAATTTTGAAAAGCTCCTTATGGCTGACATGCGCAAAAGCTGCCATAAGTTGTGACAGCACACTGCTCGGGAACCCATTATAGCCAGTTGGGCCAGTATGTACCACAAGTCCAAACGCGAAGCATACTTTCAGTCGGAGAAAATGGTGAACGGCGCTTAGTCTGTGCCACGGTCGCCGCGAGTGTGTTTGCGTGTCGTTCTTGTGTGTCACGCACCATGTTTGCTAAAGTAAAAGATCAATTTCATTTATTAATTTTATCTAAGAGTATTAAAGAAGAGAGAGGCGAAGAAACTCCAAAAGATAATTTTCAAGACCACCCCATATCAATCGCATTTCTAGCTTGCCAACTAATTAATCAGTACGGGCCCTGCTTTGAAATATTGAATTGTAATGGGTAACAATGTTGGTGGTTGCGTTTGCACTTATTCAATGGCTTTGTGTTTCTAAGTGCTTAGCTAACTCTTTATGCCTTTCTGTGTCATGACCAATATTTTATTAGTAGGAAACCAAACCTTATAAAATAAAATTGGGGCGAGAGGTTTTTTCATCAAATATGTATACTCCAGAGGGAAACGTGCTTTGGGTGTGACTGCCTTGCTTGTAATTTTCACCCTCTCAAACTCCTTGCTTTTTTACTCTTTGCCTTGTGTCAGTGTGTCAGTGGCGGACCCAGACATTGTTTTTTGTAAGGCTTTACCTTTAAAAAAAACTTAGGCGACCCTGTTTCTATTACAGTTATTGTCGAACTTCCCCATATGAAACTTCCCAAATTCGAATTTCCTATAACTATAATCAAACTTAGTTATAGTAATATTTAGCGTTTATACTTCGATTTCGATTTGCAATTTTGTTTCATAAGGCTAACTAATTTCTATATCTGGAGTGCCGCATTTTTGGCTTTAAATAAAAATAGTTGCTTCACGTTTCCATGAAAATATAATTAATTTTCCTAAAATTTTTCCTAAAAATAAATACTTTAACTTTCCCATACTCTATTTTAAAAATTGGTATAATAATAAAGATTGGACGAGCTCCAAATTTGAAAAAGTTTGATTAAGAAAGAAGTCTAAATATCTTGCAGTTAAACAAAAATGTAGTATTCCATAGAACGATAATATCTATTTTTATAACCTAAAAGTTGGCAACGTAGTGAAAGGTACGTTTCCGACGGTATAAAGTACGGTTGGCAACGTATTGAACGGTATGTTTTCCGCGGTATAAAGTATATACATATATTCTTGCTTATCATCTGTCCATCCGTCTGTCCGCCCGTCTGTCCATCTGGCCATCTGTCCGTTCGTCTATCCATTCGCCGATCCGTCCGTTCATCTGTCCGTCGTTCTTGTTGTATGATTTATGTCTAAAAACCATAAAGTTATGTCGATTTTTCGATACATTATTTCATCGTTTCAATGGTAGCTTATCATATATGTAGCTACCATAGTTCGATTTTTAAAGCAACGCAGTTTTGTCGATTTTTCTGTTGCATTTAAAATTAAAATCTGAAGAAATCGCTGTCCAAGAAGGACAATCCTTGTCCTAATGCTTATTTATAATCCCAAACTGAATTACATATATTCATATTTTTATTTTTTAAGGAGACAAGTATATATATTCTTGATTAAATCGCGTCCTGAGTTGATACAATCATGTCCGTCTGTATGTTTCTAAGCGAACTAGTCTCCCAGTTTTAAAGATATCGAATTGAAACTTTGCACACACCCTTCGTTCCTTTGTACGCAGTATATAAGTCCGAACGGACGAGATCGGCCGACTATATAACTGATTGATCGGAAATGCCATAACTTTGGTGTTTGTAAAGTTAGGAAGTTGGGATTTTCTATGGGTTTTATTTGTGGCCAATCAATCCGACCTAATAAATTTCATAAGGATGCCATAACTTTAGTGTTTTTAAGGTAAGGAAGTTGCGATTTTTTATGCGTTTTATTTTTGGACAGCCAATATAATTTACAGAATATTTTGCAAGGGTATAACTTTGGTGTTTCGGCTCCGCCCGAAGTTAGCTTTCCTTTCTTGTTTTGTCTTTTATTGTAGTCGGCGCGGGAGAGATTTATGGTCGTAAGTTAAACCTAAGTTATTTTAGTTCAATAATAACATACCAATAAATATGTAATATTTTAAAGTAAAAAAATATTAGGTACCCGTTACTCAGCTAAACAACTTAATATAAATATGTTTTCTTGTATGTTTTTCGCTGCTCGAATTATTACCTTGGCCTGCTGTTCCAAAGTCATCCGTTAGATGGCGCTATTGTATTGCGCCATCTACCCCAAGACATTGGTACCACGGGCCATGAAAGGCGGAAATGTAGGTGCTAGCCAGGCTTAAGGGGTTATCCGGGTCTTGGAGCACGAAAAAAAACCTATTTTCGTGAATTTTTTTAAAAGATCTTACGACAATTTCACAAATTTCGTTTATTGTACATTAATTGGTATGGTTTGACCAACATTGTGTAAAAATTTGAACCAAAAATTTTTAAAATTGAGCCGTTGAGGCAGGCTTGAACTTGACCTCTTAAAAAATTGTGTCCTTGCGGTAGGCAAAATATCTCCGTCAATTTTTATCTGAAATCAAAAAACCAATATTATTCTGATAGTGTATGTGTCTCGCTTGTCCTCTACGAGCCATTTTTTTTATACCCTTGCAGAGGGTATTATAATTTTGGTCAAAAGTGTGCAACGCAGTGAAGGAGACATCTCCGACCCTATAAAGTATATATATTCTTAGTTGTCTGAGTTGATATAGCCATGTCCGTCTGTCCGTCTGTCAGTCCGTCTGTCTGTTTCTACGCAAACTAGTCTCTCAGTTTTAAAGCTATCAAATTGAAACTTTGCACACACCCTTCTTTCCTTTGCACGCAGTATATAAGTCGGAACGGCCGGGATCGGCCGACTATATCCTATAGCTGCCATATAACTGATTGATCGGAAATGCCATAACTTTGGTGTTTGTTAAGTTAGGAAGTTGGGACTCTCTATGGGTATTATATTTGGCCAATCAATCCGACGTACCAAATTGCATAAGGATCGGCCGACTATATCCTATAGCTGCCATATAACTGATTGATCGGAAATGCCATAACTTTGGTGTTTGTAAAGTTGGGAAGTTGGGATTTTCTATCGGTTTTATATTTGGCCAATCAATTCGACCTACCAAATTTCATAAGGATCGGCCGACTATATCCTATAGCTGCCATATAACTGAACGATTGGAAATGCTATAACTTTGGTGTTTTTAAAGTTAGGAAGTTGGGATTTTTTATGAGTATTAAGAATGCATCATATGAATAATTTTGGAGAATATAATTTACAGAGTATTCTGCAAGGGTATATCATCTTCGGCTCCGCCCGAAGTTAGCTTTCCTTTCTTGTTTTAAATTAAAATTTTAATTTTTTGTAGCGCTTTTCATAAAAAGTGTCTTTTTTTACGTAAATTTTGGCCATATTTTGGCTTATAAAATGAGTTGTAAGTAAAAATTAATTAATGAATTATGCCTAAAAGAAGTGTGCAAAAGCAGAAGTTGATCGGTGCAATAGTTTTTGAGAAATCGTGACTACCGACTTCAAAAAAGTGGTTTTGAGAAAAACGCGTTTAAAGTGCCGCATCTGCCCGACGCCAGAGCCGGAATTGCCTGTTGTGAGGTTCGACGCACTGGTCTTTAAATTTCTCCCATTCCTACATTTTTGCTTCGATCGACTTGAAATTTTCAGACTACATTTCTGAAACTCTGTACTATTATATAAAAAAGTTTAAAAAAAAAGAAT